ACCTGGGGACACTGGGGACACCTGGGAGGGCTGGGGACACCTGGGGACAGCTGGGAGAGCACCTAGGGACACCTGGGATACACCTGGGGACACTGGGGACACCTGTGAGGGCTGGGACACACCTGGGGACAGCTGGGACAGCTGGGGACAGCTGGGGACACACCTGGGATACACCTGGGGACACTGGGGACACCTGGGGACACTGGGAGAGCACCTGGGGTACCCCTAAAGGTTCCTCCACATCTGGAACCCCCCAACCTCACCTGGGACCCCAAACCTCACCTGGTGAGCCCCAAGGTGTTCTCCTCCACCGTGCGCTCGCTGATCAGCCTGCAGGTACTGACAGGTGAGATACAGGTGAGACAGAGACAGGTGAGACAGGTGAGAGACAGGAACAGCCCCAGGTGAGCCACAGGATGTTCTCCTCCATCGTGCGCTCGCTGATCAGCCTGGGGGGACAGGTACGGACAGGTGAGATACAGGTGAGAGACAGGTGAGAGACAGGTGAGAGACAGGTCAGAGAGGTGAGGAACAGGTGAGACAGGTACAGGCAAGTGAGACACAGACAGGTGAAACAGGTGAGACAAATAACAGCTGAGATACAGACAGGTGAGAGACAGGTGAGACACAGACAGGTGAGACAGGTGAGATATGGAAAGGTGAGACAGGTGAAACACAGGTGAGACAGGTGAGATACAGGAACAGGTACAGGTGAGACAGGGGAACAGCCCCAGGTGATCCCCAGGGTGCTCTCAACAGCGCTCACTGATCAGCCTGCAGGTGAGACAGGTATGGACAGGTGAGACAGGTGAGACACAGACAGGTCAGACACGGACAGGTGGGACTCAGACAGGTGAGAGACAGGAACAGGTACAGGTGAGCCCCAGGATGTTCTCCTCCACCGTGCGCTCGCTGATCAGCCTGGGGGGACAGGTGAGACACACACACAGGTGAGACACAGGTGAGACAGGTGAGACACAGACAAGTGAGACACATGAGAGACAGGATAGACACAGATGAGACAGGTGAGACAGGTGAGATACACACACATGAGACAGGTGAGAGACAGGTGAGACCGCTGAGACTGCTGAGACAGGTGAGACAAGCGGGACAGGTAGCGCAGGTGAGACAGGTAACGCAACCCAGAAAGGTGACACAGGTGACACAGGTGAGCTCTCGGCTGCACAGGTGAGCTCCAGGCGCTGCAGCTGGGGCTGTAACCCGCTAACAACCACACAGGTGAGCTCCAGGTGAGCTCCAGGCACTCACCTGAGCCCCCAGGTGAACCCTCACCTGCACAGGTGCTACAGGTGAGCTCCTGACCCCCAAACACCTGCACAGGTGAGGCTGTAACTCCCAAACACCTGCACAGGTGAGCTCCAGGTGCTACAGGTGAGCGCCTGACCCCCAAACACCTGCACAGGTGAGCTCCAGGTGCTACAGGTGAGCCCATAACTCCTCAATAACTGCACAGGTGACCTTCTAACCCCCAAACACCTGCCCAGGTGAGGCTGTAACCCCCAAACACCTGCCCAGGTGGGTTCCAGGTGCCACAGGTGAGCTCCTGACTCCCTAATACCTGCCCAGGTGAGCTCCACGTGCTACAGGTGAGCTCCTAAATCCCAAACACCTGCCCAGGTGAGGCTGAAACCCCCAAACACCGGACAGGTGAGACAGGTGAGACACGGACAGGTGAGAGACAGGAACAGGTACAGGTGAGCCCCAGGATGTTCTCCTCCACCGTGCGCTCGCTGATCAGCCTGCAGGGACAGGTGAGACAGGTGAGACAGGTGAGACACGGACAGGTCAGACACGGACAGGTGAGACAGGTGAGACACAGACAGGTCAGACACGGACAGGTGGGACTCAGACAGGTGAGAGACAGGAACAGGTACAGGTGAGCCCCAGGATGTTCTCCTCCACCGTGCGCTCGCTGATCAGCCTGGGGGGGACAGGTGAGACAGGTGAGACAGGTAAGACACGGACAGGTGGGACTCAGACAGGTGATAGACAGGATAGGGTACAGGTGAGCCCCAAGGTGTTCTCCTCCACCGTGCGCTCGCTGATCAGCCTGCAGGTACTGACAGGTGAGATACAGGTGAGACAGAGACAGGTGAGACAGGTGAGAGACAGGAACAGCCCCAGGTGAGCCACAGGATGTTCTCCTCCATCGTGCGCTCGCTGATCAGCCTGGGGGGACAGGTACGGACAGGTGAGATACAGGTGAGAGACAGGTGAGAGACAGGTGAGAGACAGGTCAGAGAGGTGAGGAACAGGTGAGACAGGTACAGGCAAGTGAGACACAGACAGGTGAAACAGGTGAGACAAATAACAGCTGAGATACAGACAGGTGAGAGACAGGTGAGACACAGACAGGTGAGACAGGTGAGATATGGAAAGGTGAGACAGGTGAAACACAGGTGAGACAGGTGAGATACAGGAACAGGTACAGGTGAGACAGGGGAACAGCCCCAGGTGATCCCCAGGGTGCTCTCAACAGCGCTCACTGATCAGCCTGCAGGTGAGACAGGTATGGACAGGTGAGACAGGTGAGACACAGACAGGTGAGACAGGTGAGACACAGGTGAGACAGGTGAGACACAGGTGAGACAGGTGAGCACACAGGTGAGACACAGACAGGTGAGACACAGGCAGGTGACAGACAGGATAGGGTACAGGTGAGCCCCAGGGTGTTCTCCTCAACGGTGCGCTCGCTGATCAGCCTGGGGGGACAGGTGAGACACACACACAGGTGAGACACAGGTGAGACAGGTGAGACACAGACAAGTGAGACACATGAGAGACAGGATAGACACAGATGAGACAGGTGAGACAGGTGAGATACACACACATGAGACAGGTGAGAGACAGGTGAGACCGCTGAGACTGCTGAGACAGGTGAGACAAGCGGGACAGGTAGCGCAGGTGAGACAGGTAACGCAACCCAGAAAGGTGACACAGGTGACACAGGTGAGCTCTCGGCTGCACAGGTGAGCTCCAGGCGCTGCAGCTGGGGCTGTAACCCGCTAACAACCACACAGGTGAGCTCCAGGTGAGCTCCAGGCACTCACCTGAGCCCCCAGGTGAACCCTCACCTGCACAGGTGCTACAGGTGAGCTCCTGACCCCCAAACACCTGCACAGGTGAGCAGAAACCCCCAAACACCTGCACAGGTGAGCTCCTGACTCCCAAACACCTGCACAGGTGAGCTCCTCACCCCAAACACCTGCCCAGGTGAGACTGTAACCCCCAAACACCTGCACAGGTGAGCTCCTGACTCCCAAACACCTGCCCAGGTGAGGCTGTAACCCCCAAACACCTGCCCAGGTGAGCTCCACGTGCTACAGGTGAGCTCCTAAATCCCAAACACCTGCCCAGGTGAGGCTGAAACCCCCAAACACCTGCCCAGGTGAGGCTGTAACCCCCATATAACCACACAGGTGAGGCTGTAACCCCCAAACACCTGCCCAGGAACCCCCCCAGGTGAGTCCCAGGCGCGCTCACCTGTAGATGTGGACGTCGCGGGTCTGGCCGATGCGGTGACACCTGTCCTGGGCCTGCGCGTCCATGGTGGGGTTCCAGTCCGAGTCGTAGAACACCACGGTGTCGGCCCCGGCCAGGTTGACGCCGACGCCGCCCGAGCGCGTCGACAGGATGAAGCAGAAGATTCGCTTGTCGGCGTTGAAGCGCTCCATCAGCGCCTGCGGGACGCACAGGTGAGGGCGGGGCGCACCTGGCCGGCCAGGGGAGGGGACGGGGAGAGGCCTCAGGGCGAGAAAATGGGGAGGGAAGGAGGGATTGGCACACCTGAGATACCTGGGGAACACCTGGGGCACTCAGCACTCAGGAGCTCACCTGAGACACCTGGGGCACACCTGGGGCTGACCTGGGCACACCTGGGAGGGACCTCAAGGCACTCAGGAGCTCACCTGGGATACCTGCGGCACACCTGAGATACCTGGGAGGGAGCTCAGGGCACTGAGGGGCTCACCTGAGACACCTGGGGCACACCTGGGGCTGACCTGGGCACACCTGGGAGGGACCTCAAGGCACTCAGGAGCTCACCTGAGACACCTGGACACACCTGAGAAACCTGGGCACACCTGGGCATACCTGAGATACCTGGGAGGCAGCTTGGGGCACTCAGGAGCTCACCTGAGATACCTGGGGCACACCTGAGACACCTGGCAGGAGAATGCAGGGAAAGGGGGGGGATGGGCACACCTGGACACACCTGGGAGCACCAAACTGGGGCTCATTAAGGACACCTGAGGACACCTGGGGACACCTGGGGGACACCTGAGGGACACCTGGGGACAGGATGAAGCAGAAGATTCGCTTGTCGGCGTTGAAGCGCTCCATCAGCGCCTGCGGGACGCACAGGTGAGGGCGGGGCGCACCTGGCCGGCCAGGGGAGGGGACGGGGAGAGGCCTCAGGGCGAGAAAATGGGGAGGGAAGGAGGGATTGGCACACCTGGGCACACCTGGGATACCTGGGGAACACCTGGGGCACTCAGGAGCTCACCTGAGACACCTGGGGCACACCTGGGGCTGACCTGGGCACACCTGGGAGGGACCTCAAGGCACTCAGGAGCTCACCTGGGATACCTGCGGCACACCTGAGATACCTGGGAGGGAGCTCAGGGCACTGAGGGGCTCACCTGAGACACCTGGGGCTCACCTGGGCACACCTGAGGTACCTGGGGCACACCTGAGATACCTGGGACACACCTGGGCACACCTGGGCGGGACCTCAGGGCACTCAGGAGCTCACCTGAGACACCTGGGGCACACCTG